TTCAAAACAAAAACAAGGTTTTGTTGGGCTACTGTATAAAACCTCGGACTCAACGCTATTCCTGACATTTTTAATTGAAAAGGCTTCCTGGATCGGATGCAAAACGTCCTCAAACTTGGAAACAAAGTCCAGTGGATTGTTTTTAATTTTGTTAAATTAAGTTTAAACAAGATGTATTAGAAACGAAAAACCAAAAATGATGAAAATATTGTATTTTGCTACTTAACATATTTGGATATTTGAATTTCGTATGTTTTGTAAAGAGGGCTGCTTGGAGATGCAGTTTGTTTCATTGTCGCCTTGTAACAAGGTCCTGGGCTCCATTCCAGCCAAGGGTCTTTCTTAATGGAGTTTTCCTGTTTTTCTCATACTTGCAGAGGTTCTCTCTGGGTACTCCACAGTACTTGCTTCCTAAGTCCAAAAGCCTGAATGTTAGGTCTATTGGCAGCTCTAACTTGCCCTTAGCTGTGTGTGTGCTTGGATGTATGTCCTGCCTTGATGGACTGGCAACCTCTCCATAATGTACCTTTCACCAAAAGACTGAAGGAGATAAGCACCGGCCACCTGGGTTCCTGACGGATAAGTGGAAGAAGATGAATGTTTTACCAAAACTCACTTATTGACCATTAAAAAGTCATTAAGTTTGTAATTTAGTTCTAAAATAATTTCTAACAGGACTGACTTATTATCCTCTGCAGAATTCCAGACACACCATCAAAACAAATTCCTTTGTAAAACCCAGTTTAGGGGAAGAAACAGTGAAACAACAACAGTGAGATTTTTATTTTTTTGCCCATCTTTTTATTTTGATTAATATTCACATCACTAGTTAACAATTAATCACAATGAACATCTCTTTCATACCAAATATTCAGAATTGAAGGGGGAGATGAGCGCTATCTAACAGGACGGATGCTTCTAACAACCAACTGTTGGGTTTGTCGTCTCCTGCATGCTCTTGTAATGGGTTGTGCTCTAAGCAAGAAAACAGCACAAACTACAGAGTGTCCACCCAGCAGTACTTAAAAGATTACTTGGTTTATAGGGGATATTTAGGGGGAAGCAGAGGATCATAGCACAGCTTATAGTGTAAAGTTAAACCTCTGCTTTTGGCATTAAATTATTAATTAATTTTATTTTTGAGCAGCCAGCCAGTGGTTGCTGTGAATATGATAAAAGATAAAATAATCAGCCTCTTCTTTAGTACTGGAGTGGCGACAAACCTCTGTAGGATGAGCCAAGTTGGTGCTCATACCTACCAACACACTCCTTTATTCAGGTATAATTATAACAATTTAACCAATATATATTTAAATTTGATATATTTTTATTTTTTTAAATATTTTCCCCAAATTCGTAAAAGAAAATGACACAATGGTCCAAGACTTGCCCTAATTCAGTCCAGTGTTGGTAGGTATGTTGAGGTGTTTAGGAGCTGTCTAATACAGGACATAATCCATGCCAAGATACAGAGTTTGATGTTCTTTACTCTCACGGTGCCTTTCACACCAATTATCTCATCACTTCTTAAACTCAGTTATTAGTGCCGTGGTATTTCAACCATCATCTGAAAACAGAACAGAGACAGCCTCACACATGTATTCAGAATGTTAAACACATTTTAAAAACATTCTTAAAACATCATCAGCCCTTTTTTTGTTGGAAAAAAGGCAGACTTCTGAAAAAAGAAAAAAAAGTACATCTTTCCCTACTTACAGTACGCTTTCAATCATTCGCTGAGCTAAACTGTTGCAGGTTTGTGTGAACACGCTCAGCTGGAAACATCCCGTTACATCCCGTTAAAACAAAAGTTGTTTTTTCCACTTTTGCAATTATTATTATAAGCTTTCATTTAATACATCTGGAGTGATAAAAACACAGTGTTGATTATGTACAAGGGATAATGTGAGATATTAGAAGAAGGGTGAGGTTTCAATGCTACAGGAAATGGTTGTGAGCAGATATCAGTGTCAGTCAAGCTATTACTTTATGTCCAAGCTGCAAAGCAACATACCTTCAGCCCACATCCTCTCATACTTAATAATGCTTACTGAACACCTAAAAGGTGGGTTTGATATTTAGGAATTTATTATTTATAACTGTTGTATAGAATAAAATGTTTTGTAGTCTGGTACAAGTTAAATCTTTGAGAAAATAAAATGAAGCTCTGAAACAAATCTGCCTCAAACAGATATAAATTTTATTTTGGCCTGATGAATTACTATTTCTAAATAAAAACCAAACAAGAGGGATCTATCAGCATCTATGAGAATACAGGCAAATTGAGGAGATAATGGTGAAATATCTTAATTTAGAAGAAAAAATTGAAAAAAAAATATTATTATTTTGGCTCAAGTGAAGATGGGTGAATATTCCTAAACCTGGGCAGCATTTTGTTGGCATATTAAAAAATTAATCTGCTTCATGTCAGGATTATGGATGTTGAGTAAAGAGGCATTTAGAAATATTGCAGATCAAATTCATATCAGTCTTGATCAACTCTGTTTAAAAGTGTCACTTCATATCAGCAGCAGACTTAAACATAACAATATGTGGAATAAATAAAAGTAGCATCCCCATTTCAACAGGAGACATGCATGTTTTAAGCCTTTTCTAAAAAGCCTTATGAATTAAGCCATGCAGCTTTGAAAGATTCCCTTTGAAAGTTTAATTTATAATCTATATTAACAGCATGGAAATCTATTTTAAATCTAATAAACGTCTATTTTTTTTTTTTTTGAGATACAGTTACCTGATGATGTAAGGTTCATGTGCACCAAGAGCAAAAGCTCATTTACCATAAGTAATACAAGCTAGTAACAATGCATTTCTGAACATTTTGCACTTTCAAATTCTGTATGGTATGTTAATTTCATAAAACAGTGTGTGAGATTTAAAATGTAATCATCATTTTCTTTTCTTTTGTATATTTTGTTTTGCTGCAGCTTTAGCTAAACGTTAAACTTAAGACAGCCATGTTTATTTCAGGCTCGGATTTTAACTTGACTTTGAGGGACGTTTCTATTATACTAGAACTTGGAAAATTTCTAAGTATAAAAATTAAATGCATAATAAACTGCATAATGAACTGCATCATTTAGCTACATTTTTTTCCATTTGACTTTGTCATTATGAGCAGGACAGAGAAAGAACCAACTTTTTTGCACAGATGTTAGAAAATGTAACAGAGTGACACCACACACATAAAAAAGAAAAAAAAGATTTCAAGGGTTAATAAAGTGTTGCATAGCTGCGGTTCTCTGCTAATAAAGTGAATTTTGTTGGCTCATAGATTAGTTTCATTTATCTTGATCTACATTATATGACAGAAGGTGGCTTGAAGTTCTGTAAGCCTCTTGGGCAGAGGATAAAAATATATGTACTCATTCAGTAAATGTGACCTTGCAGCTTGGCCAGAATGTAAATCCCAAAGAATGTCAACAAGAATAACACAATGGCAGCCTGTAGCGCTGGGTGTTTAATCGTTGAAGCACAACACCAATAACCCGAGTTCGGCTAAAATCCACCACACAGCAGCTCATCTCCTCACACAACAGCACACTCTTACAATGAGCTACTTAGACACATCGAGACACATCCTATTCTTCTATACACAGTCCAGCACCTATAGCTATCAAAGTGTGTTGATACCTTAGTTATTTTGTGTGCAAAAAAAAAAAAAAAAAAAAGTTCACATTATTATTATTTTCACATATGATCCACGCATGTGTCATGTGCCGTGTGTTGCTTTAGGCAACTTATGCGAATTGTTTAGAAGGGACAATACGATAACAATATACGCATATATGTTGTTTCTTAGCTTTTTAGTCTTGACTATTTGATCACTTGCTCTTTGATTGCCATAGGTTTTACTAAACTACCAATACGGTTTGGTTCCCAGAAGCACACACGTACAGCACACAGCTGACAAGGTTTAACCAATATACAGTAAAGCAACTTGAGTACAGTTATATCACTTGAGTGCATCAAAAAATGAACAAGACTATGTTCAAAGTGCACAAAAGCTTTTTTATCTTTAGGGAACTTTACATGATCCGAGTAGTGCTGATAATACTTAGTGTTCCAGACACAATAATATAGAGCTAGTTTAAATAGGTGCAGTATGGGGGACTATGCTTCTCTGGTGGGGGATGTTCATCAGTTAGCTTTTAGTAAAGTCACAGAGCCAGACTATCAGTGTTCAAGAGGCTAAGCGGCGCCCTCTACAGGATGGATGCAGTAGTAACACTTCACACATCTGACAGCTACAGTACACCACACACACACACACGTTGCAAATCCCTCAGTGTCTTTTGACCAGAGACCATCCCAACCTTGAAAGCACTGTGAGCAGGAAGGCCACAGCCTACTCATGTTCGAATTGTGATGCATAATGTATCTTTGAACAATGTTCTGAAATCAAAGCCAAATCACAGTGTTGAGGGGAGTAATAATGTTTTCGTTTAAGGGAATATGTAAAAAGAAAAAAAAAAAAGCCTACAGCTCTAAAAGTCTGACTGAAATTTGGTAAGAGACAAAACAATGTCAATAAAACTGCAAACAAAAAAATTAAATAAAAAATCTTCCAGGGTATTTTATTTATTGCAATGAGCTATTTTAGAAGGAAACCCTTAAATGTTTGGCTTGTTTCTGGGATACATTTCACTATAATACTGGAGCAGGCATGGTAATCTGGAGCTGGGCAGTTCCTGCTGTCCAGCATGGTATGATTTAAGAACATTCAGTATATTAAAACTGCATCTAACATAAATTAAACATGCTGCACATAAATGTAAAGAAAACATTTTTCCCTAATCTATTTACAATACAAATGTCAGGGTAGAAGATGTGCCTAAAAGAGCGGCAGAAACCTTGACGCCTAACAATCTGCTCCTTTAAGTCTATAAGTGGTAGGATTTTGTTGTTGTTGTTGTGTACTGGTAAACCCCTAAAACACCACAATGTTTTAAACATGAACGCAATATTGACCCCCTGATTGTTAGCTCCCACTTCAAGTTAACTCTCCCCCATCTCGGAACGTTTGTTCACCATATCAGTTCTCTGTCCTCTTTCTGTTTTTTTTTTTGTGTCCCTTAGATGCACTGGTGACAAGAAGCCCTCAATCTTTATATTACTGTATTGCTGTCAGAAAGCTAAAGAAAGACACAGGAAGAGGAAAGAGATGAAGAGATGCTACAACACGGGATACCAGTGTACAAAACCTGTAGCAAAGATAATGAGATGATCTATGAACAAAGAATATTAACAATAGTAGCACATTAGCGTGAACTACTAAACGATAAAGCAGTGGTTTTCTAAAACTACATACAAAGGGCCTTCCATCCTCAGATGGGTTAATGCAAATAACCAAGAGGTTTCGGTTTCAAAGGGTGCATGAGAAAAATTGAGGTCTTCTACCTGTCAGTCTGTTATTATCATGGGCCAGACACATCTTATGGTAACGGCTGAGGACCCTTGGAGACGGTGTGGATGTGCAGAAATGTGATGAATAGAGATGAACAGTGTAATCTATAAAGAACTTTTAAATACAGAGCTCCTTCATATTCATCATATGCATTATTTCTAGAGAGCTTTAATACTCAGTGTATGTAGATACCAGCTCAAAAGGTATACATATTTAGATTTAAGGGTTAATACACTCAAAGGGTAGTTAGTGGTGAAGGTTAGGATCCTCTATTTTTTTTTATACGTGACGTCTACTTAGCCAGGGTATTATGTATAACCAAATCATGCAGTGTAACTGCAAAAAGTGCTTTAATTAGTCCAGTGTACCTATTCTTTTGTGTTCTTTGAGGTAAATTGTGTTAATTCACATCAGCAGGACCAATTTCCAATTAAAGACCACCCAGTGAAGCTCCTAACATAAACCATTTGTGCTCTTCTGACATTATTTTGAGGTCCTAAAATTTTCTAATAATGTTTTTAACTGCAGTCATAAGCAGAAAAAAAATACAGATCCTGTGCTTAAATATGTTTGGACGGTGACTTGCTTGAAATGTATCTTCCCACATCCGTTTTGCTCTTCTGATTTTATTTGTAGACTAAATTTGAGCCCCTTACCTTAATAACAACATCAACAATGAGGAAAGTTGTTAATATGGTACCATTAAAAAAACAAAAACTTTTTTTTTTTAGTTTCCAACTCATCTCACCAATCAAGCTACATATAAAGAAAGGCGGTTCGAGTAATCGGCCGATTTCTGTCTAAACAAGCTTTTGTACTTAATTAGATTCTTTTTGCAAAACACGTTAAGCTGTTCCAGTTTAGCACAACCATGTGGTGTTTTTTGAAACCACCTCTATCAACTTTGAGTACAAGGATACTAATAGAGAGATAAAAATAATACTGATAATTTTTAATCAACATTATCATGATTGTGATTAAATAATTTGTAATAAGTCTTTGATTGGCAATAAGAATGCCTTTGATGAGACTAAGTGATATCTGATGGGCTGATCTTGAGGTGAGGTACAGATTTACTGACATGGTTAGGATACTACAGGATACTAAGGGAGTGTTGGAGTGTGAATGTTTTTCAAAGAGCAGAGAAAATTGTTTTCATAAGACGTTAGATTCATAGGTTGAACATTTGAAATAGGTGACTCTGCTTTGTGTTGTTAGGCTGTTTTGTTTTTTTAACGGGGTAAAGTTGAGTATATCTGTGGTAAGAAGATAACAAGCTGGTGAAACCACACAAAGATGTGTCTACAAACACCAAGTGGACGACTTGGTAAGATAACTTTGAGAGGTCGAAGTTAAGGATTGGTAGAAGGACGCTGGTAGGCAGACCTCAGAGGAACACTGAGAAGCAATTGTTGCTGCAGTGGGTGACTTGAAGGACAGGACCAGAGGGAAGTGACTGCACGGTGGTTATTTCGTTGGTCAGTAGGTTGGCAGGTCAGTGAGCATCATGCACGTTCCACCACTTTCTGTAGCTCACAGGGACTCAGTCTGTAAACAGAAAAAAAACAACGATTTAAGAAAACGCAATAAACAACGCAGATAGAAATCTCTTGATCTAAAAAACACTGGCCAGATGGTCTGCAGATCATAGGTTGCTGCTGTTTTTGCAGTGACATTAATCGAAAGACCAAGTGGTTGTTTTTGATCTTATTAGTGCTGCAGCCATAAATCAGATTAGCTAAATCTGATATCAGCATCAGTTTAAGACTCCTGCTGTCTTTGAACTCACAGTTTGGTGGCCTGCTGCAGTAATAAAGAATCATTATCTACAAACACAAGTTCATCTTCTGCTCATTATTTCATTTGTTGGTTATTTTTATCACTGAAGCAGAGAAGCAGAATATGTATGTGCTTGTTGTAGAGCACGTACACCACTGGGGTTAGTTTGAAAAAGATTACAAATTATGTGACTACATTCAGCAAATGAAGTCACATAATGGTGAAACCTACAGCCAGCATTAATTTGCATTTAACACTTTGATCCAATGTGCTTAAAATGCTAAATATATTCCGTTATATTTATGTTTCCCTGTATTCAAGGAAGTTTAGCTTTAGTAATGGAATATTAATTAAAAATCACAATTAAATAATTCTAATTTTGATGGTGTAGGATTTTGCACACACTTGTCTCGGTAATGCGCTTGTCTATGCTAAGGGGCTCCTTTAGTCCACCTCCCCCTAAAGGAGAAGCTGTTGGCTCTTTCATGCCATTCTCTTTAGCAACGCCTGCTGGTGCTGTTGTTTGCTGTGGAGCACCACTTGCAGGTGGAGATGTCTTCTCTCCTGTTTTGTCCTCCTGTGGGCAGATATAGATAAGCACAGGGACACAGAAAAATTGAGGACAAACATTAGTCTCATTGCCAACTCTTAAACTCTCACACCATCTAGTGGTGGAAGGCAGTACCAGCACAGTGAGTCAGCAGGACCAGATAATCTGCATTGTTTTTAAAAAGAAAGCACTGCAAATAAGATTGAAATTTGACCTTGTGTCCGTTTGTCTGTTCGCTGCCTGGCCCTACGTTGTCCAAAGATCCGATCTTGGACTTGGCCTTAATGTTGACCTTATGGGACTCAATCTTCACATCACCACCACCTGGAGGGCAAAAAAAAAAAAAAAAAAGGCTGTAAAAAGACTGTTGAATTATGGTTTAGAAGTAGGAAAAGCAAAACAGAGGTTGTCTTTAGTTGAACCTGGCTTGTATTTGATGTTGTCCTTGGAGCCACATTTTGAGGTCACCTTGCTCACATCAACCTTCTTATTCAAGATTTGCACCTGGGGGACAAAACAGATCATAATGCTAACATTTAAATCACCAGATCCAAAGCAATACCTTAAAAAGTTTACGTTTTTACCGTACAGTATAAATGCAATATGCAGCAAAATGGCATCCAGCATGAATTCCCAAAGAATAAAATATTTTAAAAATGTTTTATTTTCCTCTGTCTATGTTTTGCTTTCATTTACCACACACCAAAATAGCAACACATACATGACATCTACTATAAAGCATTTGGAGGTTTTTAATTACAGTAACATAAAAGATAGGGTTACTCTTAAGATGTGGACACTTGTGATCACAACATGCATGCATTCATGTGTATCAAACATAAAAAGGTGAACGGTATCTGCAGGCAAATAAATAAAAATGGCATATAAACACTTTAATTTTCATCTGACTTGGTGTAGGTAAATAAACCATTACATAATGATAAATTAATAACTTTAGTTTTTTATTGAAGAAATCTTAGATGGCAAAGCTTTTGTTAAGAGAAGCAAGAGAAGGGATTGGATAGTGCAGCGGGTGCTTGAAGCAAATGGGAAGGACAGTCGGAGAGGAGGACACTCAAAAGTAAAATCAATCAAAAGTGCAAACAGTGGGTGCCACTGATGTGCTAATTACAATGCTTTAATGCCAAACTACTTTGAAGATGATCGGTTTCGTTTAAACGTTTGATATAGAAGAAGGCGGCTCTACAGCTCAGCTCAATTTCCTCCTCTTCTGACGCAAGCTCCAACAGAGCTTCTTGCTCAGAGCCCACCAGGTGAGAATGATGGACACATTATGCCAATTCTACATTAGAGTAAATTGATTTGTTTTTTTAAGCAAGATGTAGTGGCTAAACAAGATGTATTTAAAAAAAAAAGAAAAAAAGAGCAGCGATGCAAATGCGTCCAACCTATCCAGAGTCTCGCCCTTCGCTCCAGCAGTACTTACTTTGCCACCTCCAGGGACATGTTTGATATTGTCCTTGGAGCCACAGCGGGAGGTGATGTGGCTGAAGTCCAGCTTTTTGTGCACTATCTGAACCTAAAGACAAGCAGGCAGACACATACACACAAAAGCAAAAGAAAGAAAGAAAGCAGAAAAGAAAGAAAGAAAATAAGAAAGCAAGAAAGAAAGAAAGAAAGAAAGAAAGAAAGAAAGAAAGAAAGAAAGAAAGAAAGAAAGAAAGAAAGAAAGAAAGAAAGAAAGAAAGAAAGAANAAAGAAAGAAAGAAAGAAAGAAAGAAAGAAAGAAAGAAAGAAAGAAAGAAAGAAAGAAAGAAAGAAAGAAAGAAAGAAAGAAAAGAGCGGATCAGCTGGCAGCTTTAGATGATGGAAAACAGAGTAGACTTGTACTAAAACTATGGAAGAGATTCTGTTATTCAGTTCATCTCATCTCTAGTTTAGCTCTATGGGTACTGAAAAGCATTGTTAATTGCACAGTTTTTTGTAAAAGTTTCTTAAAAGGTGAGTGCATTCTGGCAGAATAACAAGAGTGCTTCCATAAAATGCATTAGCAACATTACAACAACACAGAAAACCAGTGAAAATGAGACAAAGCACATGCAGCAAAAATAACCAGTGACTGTTAATTGGTGCCTCTCAAAACAAAAACAAAGCAAGGAAAAAAGGGCCTTCTAAATGCTTCATAGGGTTGATTAATTTTAAGTGTTTTTTAATAACAACTAACTATACTTCTTTATTTGGCTAAAAGGTCTGAATTATGAAGAGTAAAAGACAGAAAACCAGAGAGAAACCTTCAAAATAAAATAATATATAATAATAATTAATAAAATATAATAATAGGTATGGGACCTTTTTTCTTAAAACACAAATCAAACTGAAGTGTTTTCTCTAAGAAGGAATGCATTTGTGAACCTAGATTACTTGATCTGCAAATGGTAATATGCTTATCTAGGCTTGTTATTGAATTCTGTTTTTTCTCTGAAAATATTTAAGTAGTTGTGAGTTCAAATTTAGAAGTTCAGAGAGGATGAAAAGGGAAGATGGACACACACAGAACCCAAAGGCTGTGCCTAAAGTTGTCTATAGTCAGTTTTGTCCACTCAGTAAAAATGTCCTATTAACCATAATAATGTTACATTCAAGCTGGCTAGCTCAAGAGGTAAGTCACCCATCCTGCAAACAGGAAGCCTGAGTTTGTATCCTAGCTGTGGGGAATGAGCTGCCAGTGAGGGTCCTTAGGCAAGACCCTTCATGCTAATCCCTGCTTTGGGGAGTGGCTGCCTAGTGGTAAGGGCATTGCACTTGGAATCCTGAGGTTCTGGGTTCAAGCCCCACTCCCACAGACTGCCACTCTGGGTCCCCAAGCAAGACCCTTAACCCCCACACTGCTCCCTGTGCGACGCACAGTTAAGCTAAATATCAACAACTCCTTTGAAGGTGAAACAGAGGAGTGAAGCATAAGAGGCTCCTCAAGACGGTGGGTTAAATGCAGAGTTAATTTAGTTACTCTGTACTTGTGACAATGTAATGACAATGAAACACTGAAAAAAAGAAGCAAGACAATATTTTGGATCAATCACCATTCACCTCTAAAATCCTACTGAAGATACCATAAAAAATATTTGATGCTGGTGCCATTAAAGAGAAGGCCAGGTAGTTTAAGTGTGAGTTTCCTGGCTGCACCACTGTGTGACATGTTACTCCCTAATGGCAGCATCAATGACAGAAAAAAAAAAAAAAAAAAGCACCTCCAGAGTTCAAACAAAATATCAGAAAGAAAAGCAATTCAGGGTAGTCAGAGCTGATTGAGCAAAGGTGGCTCAATTCATAGGAAAAAGCAAAGCAGCTTAAACTTTCTTGAAATCACTGTATTTGTACTTGATTTAAATAGGCGAGTAAAATTATTTGCTAAGGGAAAAAGACATTTGCACCTAAAAAAGGAAAATATCATCTCCAATATTATGTCCAATGCAATATATATCATCATTTTATGGGCTCGTTCAAGTTAAATCATACATTTACATACCTGCTCAAATGAAGGGCAATTTAATCTCTGTTTTGTTCTTTCAAAAATTTTCTCTTAGTTTTATTCTGAGAAAATCAAAATGTTTAAAAACCTTGAGGTTACTTTTCACAGAGGTATCGTAAGAGCTCATTCTCATTCCCCTCAAAAATACCCTTTTACCTGGTTGGGTGTCTAATCACTGTATTACAGGCTATAAATGTCCTTTAAGTATTGATTGCAGTAGCCTGCAGTATATTAGTCAGCAAGCTGGAGTATGAGACACAATATTCTGTTACAGTAAGGCTTTTATTCAGGCTGCATAAATGTTATTTACCATGAGTACTGTTGGGGTTAACTGCATAAACTGATCTTTTCCCAGAACAGGCACTAAGGTTTTATATTAATGGCATTATCAAATAAATATTGATTAAAACTGCTACATTGTAACAACTCATGGAATAAATATTCAGGGAAATTGCTTGAAAATTGTTTCAATAAAGCCCCAACATGGGGTTTGGATTAGGGTTTTTGGGTTAAAAACAGGAGCTAGGGTGAGACAGCACGCAGCTTAATAATAAAGCTAAAGTAAATCCTTTATATAACTATAATAATAACATCAAACAAATTGTAGTGCTACGAGATTCATTAGCCATAATTTGACCCTAAAACACCTAAACTTCTATTTCTATTTTAAAAGAAAAAAAAAAATTATTTTAAAGGAATTTTCTAAATGAAATTTAGTTTTGTTTACACTTGTGTATACAACATGACAAAATAAATCTAAGTCTAATTCTAAGTCTAAAACACAGTTGACTAACAACTAAGTGGTTCATCACCCATGCATCTATAGCCTATTTTTCCTGTTTTTCAGGTTGGAATATCCCACGCCAATCTCCGGATGCGACATCAACGGTGCTCATGTCAAATGAGAATCTAGCACACAATAGAAGTGTAATATTCAAAATGGATTTTGATGATATTCAGAAAAGAACGGCATCCAACTCAACTCAAACACCAATAGAAACTCCTTGTAAGGTGAAAAAAACAACCCCTTCATATAAGAGCTTGAGCTACAGTATGATAAGTAGCGGATGGTTGCTGCAGTTCTTTGTTTTGGCCACAGGTGGTAGTATCATTAGAAAACTCCATAATGCGTCTTTAAAGGGAAACGCAGTTTTTTTACATTGGGCCCTTGATTTAAGGTTATTACATCAAGTTCTACTCACCCATATGAGTTTTTGTGTCATTTGGAACAGTTCTGAAGATATTCCGTTAGTTTATACCCAAGTAACGTCTTCCTACGGGCAACGACTTGAAGGCACAAACTAAAATGTTCATAATCTATAATTTATAGTACGCCAGCATTCATAACATGTAGGCGAATCACTGTCCCCCAGACACCCGCGGTTATATTATTTATATCTTTTAAAAACAAAGCGTAGTGTGTATGATGTCATCCGCGCGCGCCAGCTACCATTCATTCATCCTGTCCGCTGAACTGCTGCTAGTTTTACTCGCATGCCTGGAAGATGTCTAGTGCTACTACCACAGATGATCTCGCTCTCGAAATGGAATTGAATGATTCAGATTAGCTAGCCGAATGTATAGAGGGGGTAGAGCGTAGCCGCCTGTGGCCCAGGCCGGTAGCCGGCGCGCGCGGATGATGTCATACACACGCTGCTTTGTTTTTATAAGATATAAATATAAATAATATAATCGCGGGTGTCTGGGGGACAGTGATTCGCCTACATGTTATGAATGCTGGCGTACCATAAAGAATAAATTATGAACAGTTTAGTTTGTGCCTTCAAGTCGTTGCCCATAGGATGACGTTACCTGGATATAACCTAAAGGAATATCTTCAGAACGGCTCCAAATGACACAAAACTCATATGGGTGAGTAGAACATCATGTAATAACGTAAAATCGAGGGGCCAATGTAAAAAAAAAAACGGCGTTTCCCTTTAAGCTGACTTTGAATCTTAAGAGCAAATTGTATTGTTAGTCATCTCTGCTAATTGGTGGCCTTGTGGTTTGAGCAAGTTTCTCGTGTCCTTGTAAGGCTGCAGGGTCACTTGTTCCAAGCACAGTGACTAAAGTCCCCGAGCAAAAGGGGCAGCCAACTGCTTCCTAAGGGATGGTTTAAATACAGAGGACGAATTTAATTTTAGCGTACAAAGTTGCAATGACAAAATAAAGATGATTATAACTAATATTTTAGACTACAGTTTCTCTTTTATTAAACTAAGGAAACTCAGTGTTAATCTGGTAGGGACAGGTATTTCACATGGATCTCGACTACATATTCTACATGTTTCAGTTAGCCTCTTTGGTTGTAGTGTGGAATAAAATAAGCCCAGCATCAGACGTAAGAAGGCCTCCTCCAGTCTCTTTGTGTCTAAGTCTCCTTCGCCTGAAAAAAAACCCAGCATGATGACGCAGGTGGCACAGGCAATGGATGACTCACTAAGCACAGTTAGCACACACACACATGCAACTACACAGAAAACACTTAAAAGAGCAGCTGTGTATAAATACATATATCTATATTTGTGTCTTTTTTACCTCTTCTATATCACGTATTACCTGATTGATTTCAAGCAACCACAAAGTTAGTGTGATATTGGTAGCTTTTAATCTTAGAGGCCAACTTAAGTTATTGGTATTGTTCTGCAGCATTTCCTCCGTTGAAATTAAAATATGTCCATTTTTGGAAAAGCTGATTTAAAATACAAATAGCGGACAGGGCCAATGCAATGTAATATGCTGTGCAAATATTTAAAAGCCTCTGCGACTCTTTTACATTCTGTCATGCATTAAAACCTAAAATGCTTAAAATAATTCACGTAAGGCGAAAGGAAAATGATAAATGATTTTCAAATGTTTTCAAAAAAAGAAGAAAAGTACCTGATTGAGATACCAATAAAACAAACATACCATCAGCTGCCTTTTCAAGTAAACTAATATAGAAAGTCTACCTATGTGTAAAGCAGCTATTCCGAGTAATGAGGTCTTAAATGAACAAAAATCAGATTTAAATGGCCCCACAGCCTGAACAAAATAATCTGTTAACAGGACCACAGTCACTAATGGAATCTACAAATCTACAACATTTCATGTACTAAAATGTTAAACTAGAAAGAGAATAGCAGTATAAAATCCCCAGCCCTTTATGCCAAATAGTATTATGAGAAATCTTCAAAAGATGCAATAAAATATTTCTTCTAATGTATAGGAACAACCTTAATAGGATATATAATATAGGGTCAGAATTTGTGCATATACAAGATTATGTCTTGAAAGATCTTCTGAAGGTGATAGGAATCAACAAGGAAATGCTAATAAGGATCTTCTGAGAATGTTGGACCAGGACTCTAGCGTATAACTGAGGACACGTGCTGAGAGGTCTCCAAAATCTTAAATGCAAGAAGATCCGTGGGGGATCTGCTGAATCCCTGGAGTACGCAATATCCTGGATCTATGAATTTTCAAGTGGTTCTGATCCTGAAAAACCCGAAATTTACCTTACATAAGTATACATCTTGAATTTATTTGGATATGTTCTTTATCTTTAAGAAATATGGAAAAAAAAATATGGATTTCAACTTCCTGGAATCCAACCCTTTTTGTCAGTGCAAAATATGTAGGGGACAAAGCAAACATACGTGTATGCAAGAACCGATCTAAAAATAAGTAAACATTTCTTAAAATGAGTAAATTTTGCCCTCAATATGAGCAGGTAAATAAGAGGATATTGAAATGAAATGGTTATCTTTGCCCCTAGAATAAAATGATATAGGACAATGTTATTCCTTATTTCATAAGGAAATTGTTTTCCTGATTTACTTAATTTAAGGTAAAAAATACATTGCTTATTTATGAGGTGTTTTGGTCAGATGAGAACATAGCTGCTTTATCTATCTGCATAATATCAGGCCCTTATCAACTAAAATCTCAAATAAGGGGCACTAACTTACTTATGCAAACAAAGAGTTGCATACACAATTAATGGGGCATATATCCGATTTTTTACTGTGTTTGTGTGGATAACAGGTGCAAAGTTATCGCCCTGTTTTAAAAAAGATTTTACATGTACTAAGGTTTTAGAGAGCAGATTTGATTTATTGTACCCATCCCAAGGGTAGCAAAAATATGCAACATAATCCATCTATGTGGAGGAGATACAGGCAGAGGATATAAAGGAGGACGCTCCCTGTTTGTGTGAAAATTCAGGACCTATTACCTAAAAACTTTTGAGGCAGCAGCCCAGTGGGGAAGCCTCTGCCATCTGGATGATTCCAACCATTGGAACCAGTCAAGGTCATTGCTTTCATTTCATAAATCAACACCGCATCATCTTTCGTAACACCCAACATGCTTAAAACCATTTGTCAAAAAAAGTAAAACGTCCTTTTATTTTCATTGATTAAAGAAAACTGTTAATGTTTCACATATAAATAGAAAGGAAAAAATAGCAGGTTTTTTCAGTATCTCAGCACACACACAAAAACAGGAAACCATTTTTTTCATTGTTTCCTATCAATAATAAACTTTCCTAATGCATAACTTTAGTAATAACAAAAAGATGTGTGAAACCAGTCAAAGTAGATGGAAAAATGACCCAAGCCAAAAACAGGCCCATCTTGGAAGAAAATAAGTATAAATACCTTTAAGTAGTGCATTTACTCACAAAATAAACTCAGAGCTAAAATGTATATATATATATATATATATATATATTTTTTTTTTTTTTTTTTTTTAGAATGGCCCCACCAATGCTCACATCTAAATCCCATTAAGATTTTTTTTTTCTCAAACTTGAGAAGTGATGTTAACTCAGAGCTCAAAATATTCAGCAAAAAAACTGGACACAAATATCTGTTAATAATTTATTAGGCTTTTAGAGTCACCTGACAAAGTACTGCAAAATCAAATTTTAGAAAGTACTGACTAAGGCTGGGGGAATGCATAAAAACCCAATTTTCAGATTCTCTTTTTTCAAAAAAGTGCAAAAGCAATTATTTTATTTTGCTCCATCACGTCAAATTCCAGTGAAATAGATAAAATCCTGGCATTGTTATTAAATGTGGGAAGTCAAGGGATATAAATACTTTTGAAAGGATTTATCCACTATAAAAACATCTTCTTTTTTCTGAGTCAGTTAGCAGTCTGCATCGTCACTGTAACTGGGAGATGAAATAAAAAGTTAAGAAGAAACACTGACATTAAAGAAGCAAAACAGTCTCTCGTTGTCAGCTTGCTGACAGTTGTACTGCAGCTTTTGTGCAATTTAGAAGTTCATTTTTTTTTTACTTTGCTTGGTTCTTAGGTTTGATGTGCAGAAAAATAAAGAAAGGAGAGAGAAGAGATTTATCCGGGGCTACACCAAAGTCAGAGGTCACTGTGGGCCAAGTCTGACACAGCAGTAGAACAGAGCCAACACTTTAAATGAATCCATTTCATAAAAGATGTAACATCAAACAACATGGATCCATATGTACTTTAGATGGATGAAGGGATATGGAGGTGGAAGTAATGTTATCTGCTTACTTGGAGGATTTATGGAACTGGTTTGATGCACTGAAATCAACAGTATCAACTGTATGGTCACAACAATAGCTTAGAGGATGCATTAAAAAACGGAAAGTTCAACATCCTATCTATATTTTTTTAATCAACTAGATTTTGAGGTTATAAACCATTAGCACATCACTAATATACAGATATATACAAAATTGTTCAAGCTGCTCGCAGATATAGATAAACAAGTTTGTTTCCAAAAGGAAACGAGACACAGTTTCAAAATATAGTAAAAGATATAAAAGAATAAATAAAAATAGCTATGTTTTATAGCTATGTTTTATTGTTTTTAAAAAAAACAATAATGTTAAGAATATTGCTGAATATGTTCCTCTCAATAACCAGTGACAATATCTTTATTGGTTGTAATTTATGCTTTGAAACCAATGTTGTGAATTGGATCTGATACAGAATTTGTAAAGGGCACTAATAATTAGGGTGAAGCCATGTAGGCGGTTGTAAGATGCAAAGATATTTATTGGTTGGGCTTCCCTGTATGCTTTCTCTCAGTACTTCCCTTCTCGTGAAGTGAAAATATAGCAGAGGCTGATACACATGCAATATTTTCCCTTGACAAAAAAATGCTACTTTTACTACAAAGTTAAGGTTTTTTGATGAATTGCTAGAAATTATTACAGTACTTTAAAAAAGCCAGTTAAAGTTGCAAATACTATAAAATGTGGGCAATGTATTGTAGGCAACATATTTTTGTAATATTCACGTGAACAGGGAGGCATGTTTTGTGTTGGATGGATGTGGATAATGTGGAGAATACAGATCTGTTGGAGAATGTAGAGGTGTTTCAGGTGGCAGAGACTCACTCTGGCCTTGGCGGCAGGGGTGGAGGAGTCTGATGTCTTGCTGTTCAGGGTGGAGGAGACCTGGGGAGACAACCAGGCCCCTAGTCAATAAAAACCTCGACCAACCACACGCCAAAGCAGAACGACGTGGAAAAGCAGGAGTTAGTGTGGGGGCATGAGGGGGGTCAAAAGGAGAGAGGCTGGATAAATCACATAAATGTGTGGGTTGTTACAGTCAATAAACACGAAAGACTGGGTGGAGAAAAAAACATAAATCGAGTGAATCTAGTCTACAGACTGATGGTCTGGATGTACGACAACTTTCAAACAGCTGGGTACAATGCATTACATGGATCAGGACAGCAGTTTATAGTCTACGAAGGTGAAACAGATAGAGCACTTTAAAAATGATCACAAAGAATAACAGTCATTAGTTCTAAAATATGACTGAATTCAAATGCCTTTTCCTGTTCTTCATTTGCAAACTGCATTTTATTGGGTTTCTACAAAAACATATTGCTCATGTATTCAGCCACCAGTTTTAATTCTTTGTACAATTAAAATCAATTCTTTTGAGTTGCAACTTTACACACCGAGTGAAGTTTTTGCCTCCTTCTCAAACTTAGTATGATGGATGGAGAGTCTATGCTAACAATCCACTACAGTTATGAAAACCATTTCTTCTGCCAAGCAGTGAATTGATACGTTCATTCCTTAGAGTAAACTCAAAATAAATGTCTATAAATCTCTAAGTCTATAAGTCACAGATGGGCGCTCTGCATTGCTGTGGCGCTTTTTAATAATTGACCCACTTTAACTGTATCAAAGATTGTGAAGGATCTCATGAAAGTCAAGATACTTATTGTTTTTCTCCATGTCCCTCATGGGTTTCAATAATTTTCTTATTTGAAAAAAGAAATCCTTCTACTTCTTATTTGATAATTCCTTTTTTTTGGTATATAAAATAAAACTAAAATACTGTGAGGTTTTGGGTTGCAATCAAACATAAATGCAGAAATGTTTCATTTGTGTGAGTAGTTATGCAAATGAACTATAGAAAGCTGCACAAAATAGCAAAGATCAATTATAAATCAGATGTAGAAGGACTGCAGAGCTGATAATACCACACTCCCAGTCCCATGCCATTGTTTAGATAAAAAAAACATTATAAATGTCTGATGGATATTACTTATAAATAAATAAACAATAATTATAAAATTAAAGAGTAGACACAGAGCCTTTGCAATTGTAATTCAGAGCAGCAGTGAAATTATGGAAACCAACAGAAAAGACAGATGATAAAGGGAACATTTGCACTCCTGCAAAACATAATTATGCATCTACCCTGAAAATCCAGGCCATAAAAATACAGCTTGAAGAACTTTTATTTTACTTTTTCCATTGTAGTAGCATAACTATAGAACTGTAAATAAACAAGAGGTCAATATGGTAAATATAACGCTGAGTGATACTAGCACAGATGTGGAAATGCTGTTCTTCTAGATAAATTGAATGCAGATGATTTCTCTGTTGGTCTTTCTAAAATTTCTATGCTGGTCAAACATTTATTGGTCTTTTTTCCAGTGTAGTATAATTACTTAAAAACTATATACCTAGGCTCTTTCAATTTGTTTAAAGGAAAATTAATCAATTGTATATAAACTTTTGAATTCAAAGAGAATCATAAAGATTTTATTCTCCAAAAATAACAAAAATAAGATTATGCATCTATTGGCTTCAGGCAAAATGTATTTTTGAGAGTTTGTGAATTAATAAATCACACGATGATTCATCTTGCTTGCAAGGTAATAAGTCTGTGGCAAGATTGTTGATATTCAGAAACAATTGGGCGTTTAATTATGAGAGTGATCACAAATATAAAAATGTGTTTGGAGAAGGCTAATTTCAGGTCTCTGTAATGGCTGTGTTGTTTTAGCTTTTGGATTAAATCTAAAAGCCTGGCCCAAGAATAATAGTATATTCTAATTAATAAGTAAGTCAATAAATAAATTAAAAGAGATAGATAGATAGATAGATAGATAGATAGATAGATAGATAGATAGATAGATAGATAGATAGATAGATAGATAGA